GTTTTGCACTAATTGTGTATTTTATGCCTTGTAGGAGTGATTCCGAGCTATGTAGATATTATGGAATGAATTCAAGTGATTTGGAGCTTTGAAGTCTGAGTAAAAGCCCAAGGAATAAAGCCGGGATCGTGTTCAGGGATCAATGGATGATAGTTAAGAACGAAACGGAGAATCGAACGGGCATACGGCGCATTGTCTAGTAAAATGCACATAACTTTTCGCTTAGAACTCCGTTTGGGCTCCACAATATATCGTTGGAAAGCTATTTGAAAGTGCTACAACTTTCATGTTTTGAATTTTTGCGAATTCTCAATACCGCGGCGCATTATGCGGCGCGCCGCGCCTGTGGAAATTCCCTGCAGCCTGTCAGAATCAGCTCTCTGAACTTCCCCACAAGCACACCGCGTGGCGCGTCACTCCATGCGGCGCGCTTGTGCAAATTTTACAGATCCAGAGTCCTATTTCTCGCAGGAAAAGGTGTTTCATCTGGGCCCGACCCTATTTGGTATAAATACATGTATAAACTCTATTTTGAGCAAGGGGGATATACTTTTGACATAATTTAGACCTAAGGAGGCTAAGGAGACCGGGGATTCGACCTAAGGAGGCAAGAACACACTAGGAGCAAGGCGAAGAATTCTTCTACGAGTTTTCACTTCCTTCTTCCTATTTTCATTATTGGTTATGAATTCTACTATTGTAGTTATGCATACTATTATGAATAGCTAATTTGTTATCTAGGGTTTTGATGGAACCTATTGGAGGATGATTTCCTGTTACGTTAATATAGATTTACTGTAGTATTTTTTCTATTTGTTCAACTACGTTATTATTATGGTTGGTTGAAGAGCTCTCAATATACTATGCCTATTAAGTGTGTATTACTCGGGAGAGAGTGCATATTTAGGTAGTTGTTGAACAACATCACTCCTAACGTATATGATGGATCAATAAGGAGGGTTTAAAGGTGGGATTAGGGATAACGAAACCTTGGGTGCGATCCGAGTGAGCTGTACTTAATGCCAGCTAGCGTAATTCGGGAAAATATATCTAGTAAATTGTGGTAATTACTCGGGAGAGAGTTACAACACTCAGAGCGCTCATGATCGGTAGAGAATACTTAGGCGAAATTATAGAAGATATAGCGGGAAATCATAACTCTAGACCTCCTTAATCTTGTCTCTAATCCTTAGTATCTTTAGTTGTTAATTTACTATTTTAATTTGTTAGTTAATTAGTTAAACACAAGAATCTTAATATCCATAAGTTAGGAATTGTTCAAGCTTGTCTTCTTGGTGATATTGAACAGCTGTAGCTAAGCCTTAGTTCTCTGTGGGATTCGACTCCGGACTTGTAAACCGGATTATATTTGCAACGACCGCTTAGTCCTTTTTATAAGGCATAGTTGGGCGTGATCACCGAACCTCGTTAAATCTTGTGTTGATTTTTCTTCTCTTTTTGCTTTGTGTGTAATTGTGTGGTAGTTAACCCACGATATTCCGCAATAATTAGTATCAGAGCAAGGTTCGGGTTTCTACATATAATCTAGGGTTAAGATGTCTTCGTCATCTTCAACAAAGTACGAAGTAGAGAAATTTGACGGGGGTTCTAGTTTCAGTCTATGGAATTTTAGGATGAAATCGTCCCTGGTGTTACAAAGGTTATGGAAAGCAATTGATGAGGATTTTCTTGAAGAGATGAAAGAGACAGAGAAGGCAGACCTGAAGGATAGGGCTTTGAGTGCGATCTTCATGAGCGTTACAGATAGCGTTCTTTGGGAAATTGCTGAAGAAACTTCTGCAGCAACGGCATGGAAGAAGTTGGAAGATCTGTATTCTAAGAAATCACTGATATTTTTCTACCTGAAAAAAGAGGTTATACAATCTCTGTATGAATGAAGATACACTTGTTAAAACTCACATTGATGAGTTTAATTCAATTATAATGGACCTGAAGAATGTGGATATCAAAATTGAGTGTGAGGATCAGGCCTTGATTATGTTATGTTCTTTACCACCGTCTTATGATATTTTTGCCAATACGCTGCTATATGGGAAAGACAGCATTTCTCTGGAAGAGGGTATTGTGATTAAAGGAAGAACACAACAAAGGACTTTAATAGGAAAAAGTCAACCGCCAGATCGAAGTCTAGAGCAAGGAAACAATACTGTTATGAGTGCGGGGAGCAAGGTCACTACAAGAGAGATTGTCCTAATCTGAAGGAGAAAAGAGAGAAGCAGAAAATAGATAATTCGGCAAATGTTGTTGACACTGGCAATAATTCTGATGATAGTGACTATGTAGGGAAGTCTGTGCCATGAGTTCTAGTCATGGGCAGAATTCTTGGGTTCTTGATTCTGGTGCTACTTTCCACATGTGTCCACACAAGAATTGGTTTACAACTTACAAGCAAATGAGTGGGACTGTCTATATGGGAGATGATAATCCATTACCAGTAGAGGGGGTTGGTAACATCAAATTGAGAATGTTCGATGGAATTATCAGAAACATTGAGTGTTGGCATGTTCCTCGGATAAAGATAAATTTGATTTCTCTATCGACTTTGGATGATCAAGGGTATAAATTTCACTCTGAGAATGGAATACTTAAAGTGTGTAAAGGCTCTATGGTACTCATGTAGGGTAAACTACATTCTAAATTGTACCATCTTCAGGCCAGTGTAGTTGAAGGGGAAGCTGCTGTAGCTTCTGGGAAAAGTGATCTGAATCAGTCTCAGTTGTGGCACTTGCGACTTGGCCATATGAGTGATAATGGATTGTCTTTCTTGAGTAAGCAGAATTTGCTGAATGGGTACAAAAATCAAGTTTTGAATTTTTGTGAGCATTGTATGTTTGGTAAACAGACAAGGGTGAAGTTCATCAAGAAGGCCGAGCACAAGACCAGAGACAAGTTAGATTATATACACTCTGACTTGTGGGGTCCAAACAGAGTTCCCTCCAAGAGTGGTGCCAGGTATTTTATGACTTTGATTAATGATTACTCAAGGATGGTGTGGGAATATTTTCTGAAAATAAAAGATGAGGCATTTTCGACATTTGTTAAATGGAAGACGATGGTTGAGAGGCAGACGGAAAGAAAAGTTAAGTGTCTTCAAACTGACAATGAGTTGGAATTTTGCCATGCTGAGTTCGATAATTTCTGCAGCAGAAAGGGCATAGTGAGACACCGCACTTGTGTCGGAACACCAAAAAAAATGGTGTTGCAGAACGTATAAATAGAACGCTTTGTGATAGGTCATGAAGCATGCTTTCACACTCATGTGTTAGCAAAGATTTTTGGGCTGAAGCAATCAATACAGTTTGTTATGGTCAACAGATCTCCATCCACAGCTATTGAGTTCAAAACTCCTCTTGAGGTATGGTCCAATTTGCCTGCTGATTATTCAAATTTAAGGATATTTGGTTGTCCTGCTTATGCTCATGTGAGGGACGGAAAACTTGAGCCGAGGGCAAATAAGTGCATATTTCTAGGGTATGCAACTAGAGTGAAAGGTTATAGGTAGTGGTGCACAGATCAAAAGACTCCAGGGCTAATTATCAGTAGGGATGTAAGATTCAATGAATCTGCCTCACTGGACAGTCAGAGGGAGAAGGCAATAGCAGAAACAAATCGTGGTGTCAGTGACCGCATAGAGCTAGAAATTGAATCTCCACTAGCTCAGCCCAGTAGTTCTAAAGTAGAGGAAGTGGAGGAGGTGCAAAATATTGATCAAGATGATAATGTTGATGCACAACTACAACCATATAGCATTGCCACAGGCAGGGAGAAGAGAGTGATCAACCGACCGCAAAGGTTTGCAAACGTAGTTGATGGGAATCTTCTTGGATATACGAATCCAGTGGGATTTGCTTTGGGAGTTGCAGAGACCGTTGATGCATTTGAGTGTTATAGCTACTCAGAAGCTATTCAGAGTACAGAACCAAATCGACGGATTAGTGCTATGGCTAAAGAGATTGAGTCTCTTAACAAGTTTAGGTGTTGCCTAGACTTGGTTGATGTGTGCGGTAATGGATAGAGCCCTTGTGAGGGCTGAGGGCAAGGTAGAGAGACGTTGTTCCTGTTGATGAAGAGAATTCAAGCCAAGGGGAAGATTTGTTATTTGTGGCTTGAATTAATTCCTTGTATTTATAGGAAACCCATAGTCCCTATAGGTTTAGGAAAAACCATTGCCCTAATAGATTTGGGAAAGGAAAACTCATAGTCCTTGTCAAATTGGGAAACCTTTCTCTTATATGTTTGGGACCTTTTGGGATCTATATAGAGGGGTTGTAGTTGGAGATTCTAAAGATTGTATTGTGCTTTTCTTCTCATTCATAGTGGAAAACTCTCTCTGCTTTTGCTCCGAGGATTAGGCTTAGCCGAACATCGTTAAATCTTATGTTGATTTTTCTTCTCTATTTGCTTTGTGTGTGATTGTGTGCTACTTAACCCACGATATTTCGCAACAGTTAATAATTTCGTATATTTGAATAATTTAAATATATTTTGAAGTGAAAATTTTCTTGATCCACTTAGGACATTCAATCTTTGAATTTTAAAGCAATATTCTAATGCCCTAAAGCTTGAACCGGACTTCCAATACTGACTGCTCCACCTCAGATTAACCCCTCTCTCTCTCTCTCTCCCCCCTAGATTTAAACCCAAGAATTTTCTGTTCATGGGTATCTTTAATCTTGATCAAAGAATTTGCTCTAATCATTTAGTTATTGCGTGATTTCCTTAGTATTAAACATGATACGCGAAGCTTGTTACCCTAAATTTAACTTGTTAAATGGCTACAAAATATTCGTTTTAAATTTGGTAGTTCATGACATTGACTGCTAGTAATATTATGTCTGATGCTTTCCTATACCTTTTTTAAGCATCGAACGAGAGTCTCATTTTTAGAACGAACAATTATTAACGTTTTGGTTTAATTTGTTCTCTCTCTTTTTTTTCTTTTCTGCTCGAGACTGAAAAATCAGTTTCATCAATCACAATCACAATCACAAGTATAGTTGGTAAAATATAACTTTAAAGAGTAATACCGAAATTACCGAACCACACAAACCAAAACTAAAAGGTAGAAAACCAAACCATATCGAACTTATTTCGGTATGGTATTGTCATAACATTTTGAAAACCGAAAATACCCCACCGAAATCTTTCAAAACCATACCAAACCGGCCAATGAATAAAGATTGAAATTGCAGGTATGCAGATAAGGCTTGAGCAGTTATGCCTTCAGGTAACCCTCTTCATCCAAGTATGAGATCACTGTATCAGCCAAATCATTAGGAGAATCAAATAGCCCTCGGTTCTGATGTAAAACTATCTGCACGTCGGAAAAAATACAAGACCCCATGTAAGTAACATGAGCTTTGAGGAGGATGGATTATATCCTCTTTAAGCAAGCATGACGCAATCAAATGAATATCCAAAGATAGTTGAGACTAACACAACTTAGAGATTGGAGGATTGCAATTACTTGTATCAATGACTTATACGGGCTGATCCTAAATTTGTTACAGTAGGTCAAATCATGTAGTTTAAAAATGCTGATAATCTGAAACAAGGCGACTGCAGAATCTAGGAAAACAATCAATCCCCTTATGTACAGCATGTTAAGCAAGAACAGACTTGACCTTACCTCGGAATTTAGGGGTGGCTCGTATGGATCATCAATACCGGTAAAACCTGCAAGGTACCAAGTAAAATGTTAGTAAATAACGTGACGTTTTAGGTGAAATAAAAATCTAAAAAATAAAACCAGCAGAAAGATGAGATACACAAAGAAGATGGGTAGGGGTGTAAACTTAGTGCATACAAGTGTTGCTCGCCCAACTTGTCCAAGGTTGGGAGGGTTGGTTGGTATTCAAGCCATCTAAAAGTTTGGTCTATATAGGCTATCTAGATTGCAAAATTTACCCACAAAAATGTGACAAAAAATAGAAAAGAAATTGACGGTTTGATTTCACATTTCTCTCTATAAAGATTGGGAACTCATTGCAAAGAAGATTGCTTATATAAGCAATGTGAGAGCACCTTCTGAAGTTAGAACTCCTCTACAGCAATATAACTTCTGAGAATATTTCTTTGTAGTAAGTTTCTAGTATGGTTTTCTAGTGTTTGTACCTGGATAGCTAGTTATGTTTGACTTAGTAAGTTTCTAGTATGGTTTTCTAGTGTTTGTACCTGGATAGCTAGTTATTTTTGACTAAGCTATGGATTTGTAACTGATTACTGGTGATTAATTAAAAAATTTAATTACCCAAAAAAATGTTGATTGTAGTTTGACTTGGTAATTAGACAAATTATAAGAAAAACAAACCCATAAAAAATGGTTGAGTTGGTCGGGTTGGAAATGACCCATTGTTTAGGGTAAATTAACCCACACCAACTTTGGGCATATTGCCTCATGACTTCATTGAAATTTGATCCAATTTGCCCATTTAACATCCCTAAAGAAGAGTCTTTTGCCTGCAGCAACAGGGCCAAAAATGTTCAAGCCAGGCAACTTGATATTGAGGAAAGCAGATCATCAGAACTACCCTGTTGATAACTTCGGAATTTCAACTGACCACCCTCATCCATCAACATTGTAATAAAGCTTTCTGATATAACATCCTAACTCACAAAAACAAAGAAAAGAGAGATCGAGAAAACAGACAATACCTTTTATCTTCCCCGCTCGAGCAAGTTTGTACAATCCCTTAGGATCCCTTGCCTCACATACATGCAGAGGAACATCCATGAACACCTAAAAAAGTTATCCAACTCAATCAGCTAATAATATGTGCCAAGCAGCAACGGCTCAGTGGAGAAGCTAATCCTTTGAGAACCATTTCCCATCACAAACCTCAATGAAATCCCCTTCTGCCAGTAAAGCGCGACAGGCATCTCGCTCCTTCCTGTAGGGAGAAATCAAACTGGCAATGCAAATAACTCCAGCATCCGCAAAAAGCTTTGCCACCTCCCCTATTTATAGGCATTTGGAATTGTTAGGTTTCCAGGAGAATAAATGAGAGGGCTTCTGGAAATATTTGCAAAGCAAAGACCAAAAAAGAAGGCAACCTATACGTCTTATATTTTCTGCTCGGTCTTCTGCTCTGAAACTAAGATCACGATTCAGGCCATGGCGAACATTATCACCATCAAGGATATAGGTGAGTTTTCCTCTAGCATGTAAGCCACGACCTAGAGCACATGCCAAAGTGCTCTTCCCTGAAATTAAGTTGAATGTATAAAAAAGTGTGTTTGTGTGTGTTTGTGTGTGTGTGTGTGTGTGTGTGTGAGAGAGAGAGAGAGAGAGAGAGAGAGAGCTCATAGACTGAAGGCCTTAGAAAAGAAATTGGAAATAAGAGTAGCGAAGAGGACAGCAGTACCTGATGCTAAATAATATGTAGTATCTTGAAAAAAACTAATCAACGTTAAGAGAAGAAATAACTGTTCATACTAAAATGTTCTGCCACAATCATTCTTAGGTGCTTCCAAATCAAGGCAAACTCATAGAGTATCTTGCAATAGCGTGTCGACTAATATGTTCATTTCAGTTTAGCAGTATGATTGACACTGCATTTGAAATGAAATCAAGTGCAATGTTTGAGGCTGACAGAGTAGACAGCCTTTTCCGGTATATTACTCTACCTCCAGGTTCCCCTGATGAATAGTGTCAAACTAATGACGACTGTGCTTCTTAACCAGTATTTTGTGTTCATCGAGCAGACCTACTAATAGGACTCAGAGAGAAAGGTAATGCTGCAAGTACACTCGAGATTATCTTATCGTTTCTTAATATCATAGTTCAATTAACTCAACTTGATAGAATAACCAATCTGCCAAAAGAAAAGGGTAAAGTAAAGGCCTTATTCTGATTTGGATTTTTGGCTATTCTGCTCTTGGTAGGATTGATGTCATCTTTTCTGAAGGAAGATTGAATCCCATAAATCATACAAAAGGCATCTAGCTTTACAAGAAGAGTATTTAATGAAAACTTTCATACTTCATAGGGTAGTTTCCTATTGCCCTATAAAAGCACAAATTTGGCGAAGGCTGCTAGCACCGAGTTGTTCTCCTTCGATATTCGTAATAAGTAATCATGTGATGTGAAAACCATTTAAGCAACTGTTGCTATTGTGCATTATTGAGCAAAGATATGCATGCAAAGCCTGAGTTCTAATCAGAACAGTACCCAAAAATTTAGGAAATGGTTGTAATAGTAATACATGATAGAAACAACATCTGGCAAGAGAGTAACAGAAAGAGAGAGAAGAGAGAAAAAGATTGAGAGCTAATATGAGGCTTCTGGCATTTCAAACTAACCTGAACCACTGAGGCCAGTTATCCATATAACACAACCCCGTTGCTGAAGCAACTCCTCTCTGTCACATTTCTCTACAGTACATTTGTGCCAGACAATGTTTGTTGAATTCCCAATTGTAGACATTTGAGGTATACTGTCACCTAGTTAGATGATTGTCGGATTAGTAACTAAATTTTCGTGAAGCCAAAATTACATCCACTAGAAATAAGAAATAAGAAGTCATAATAGGGTGTAAATAAAGACGGACTAATCCCTCGTCCTTTTTCATGTACACTCAGAAATAAGCCACGACTTAGGGAAAAAACAAATTATTACGTCCACTAGAAATAAGAACTAAGAAGTCATAATTCGTTGAAAAATTATACTGTGCAAATAGGGGAAAAACGATTTTTTGGTTATATATAAGCTGTTGAATCCTCTTGACATAAGAGAGATCTAGTGAAGTGGCAAACGGGGTTCAAAAATTGCTACTTTAAAATCCTCTTGTATAAATTCGTGGCTGCAGTCAGATAAAATATAAATTAATTAGAAGCACCGACTTAGATTAAAACTGTGGCCTAAATTCAAGGAAGTCACAAGTTCACAACAAGCAAATGACAATAATGAGTCCAGGAGTCAACTTTTCACATTGATTTAGCATAATATAAAACAACACAGCAATCTAAACTACCACAAAAATGAACATTTGAATTCTAAGTTTCAGTATTTCCTTACTAAGCAGAATTATTAAGCATAAAAAGGTAAGGAAACAAATCGAGAGAAAAAAAAAAGAAAAAAAGAAAAAGAGGCCTACCATGGCAATCATTTATAGGCATATCGTCATTGGAATCACATCCTGTTCGATGAACATTTTCAGCTTTTCCGTTGACATGAGCCTTTCTAGAAGCTTCGATCGCTCTTAAAGGCGCTACGAAGCTCGTTTTGACCTCGGTACTGCTGAGGCCGAACAATTTATCTCTGCTATTACATGCCGGTAGCTTTTGAAACCCTAACTTTCCCGACGACGGCTCCGGGAGATCAAATTCCGGCGAGGTTCGATAAATCGATGAACATTTTCCAATTGTAGTCATTTTGAATCGCAATGACCGAACTATCATTTCTTCGCAATAATAAACAACAAGATGTACACTTATAATAACAATAAATACATAAAAAAAAATTACTATTGAGTAAAAATGAAGATAAGGAAAAAAATTATTAATTAGCCCATATGTACAGAGACGCGAGAGGGAGGCATGGGGAAATGAAAATGTAAGTTGGTGGTGTTAGAAATACGTCGAGGCGGCGAGATTCACGGCGGATTTATGGTGCTGGTGGTGATTTATGGTGGTGGTGAATGGTGGCGATCCATTTCCATTTATATGTGGTAAACAGGTTTGGTTTCTGGGCAAAGCAGAAAATGGTGATAGCCAGAGGATCTCCCTTTAAAATGTGGAATTAAGGTTGAAAGGTACAGGATATACATCGGACATGTAGCATGGCACGAGGGACGCGTTTACATAGAATATAAAGCAGATTTAACATTTTAAACGAGCGATCACGAAGTTCAACATGTATACACTCATATTATAAAAAGTTTAAACGAATAAATCTTAACTTCATTCGTTAAATAGTTTTTTAGGAATAAGAGGGTGTTTGAATTGGTTTTTAAGAGCTTTTAAATTCTTTTTAGCTTTTTTTAGTGTTTGGTAAAATTAAAAAGTGTTTAAAATAAGTTAAAAACTGCTTAAAACAAGCCAAAAGTAATAATATGGGCAATCCCAACTTTTTTTTTTTTGGCTTACAAGTTATTTCTATAGAAACTCACTATTTTAAAGTCCAAACGGACTCTAAATCACTCAATTTCATTTAAATATAATAGAAATAATATAATATTCACTATCAATTTGTCTTTTCTTTCTTTCAAAATAACATTTTTCTAGAGTTCATTACTCAAGTGGTCACTCCATTATTCGAAATTACCCAATAAAAATGTATGTTTTTTGTTTGATACACCGCTTTGCTGAGCAACCTCTATTACTATACTAGCAATTCGTATCTAAATTTATATCTTGATTTAATGTTTTTGTAATGACCCAATCGATCGTTTTGAGCATTTGCACGTTGCTCGGTAGTTTGAGGGCATGAGTAGTTCCGTATGATATATTATGACTTGTGTGAATCGTCAGTTTTGGTTTTTATGTTATCCGGAAGTGATTTGGAAGGATGAATTTCACGTTTGAAGCTTTAAGTTGGAAGAGTTGACCAAGTTTGACTTTTGTGTATTTGACCGCGGAAGGGGTTTTGATGGTTCTGTTAGGTCCGTATGGTAATTTTGGACTTGGGCGTATGCCGGAATTTGCATTTGGACAATTCTACAAGGATTCGACACTAATTGGCGAAAGTTGGAAATTTGAAGGTTTGGAAAGTTCATAAGTTTGACCGCACGTTGACTTCGAGGATATCGCATTCGGATTGTGGATCCGGGATTTGGAATAGCTTCGTTATGTTATTTGGGACTTGTGTGCAAAATTTGAGTTCATTCCGGGTTGAGTTGATATGTTTCGACGCGAGTTTTGGAAGTTGAAAAGTTTAAAGTTCATTCGAGTTCGAATTGAGGTGAGATTCATCGTTTCGATGTTGTTATGTGTGATTTGAGGCCTCGAGTAGGTCCGCGTTATGTTATAGGACTAGTTGATATATTCGAGCAGGGTCCCGAGTGGCTCGGAAGAATTTCGGACGAGGATCGGATCGTTTGAATCATTTTTGGCTAAGGCTGCTGGTGGCAGGATCTGGTGTGATCGCACCTGCGGCTGGTTTGTGTAGGTGCAATGGTCGCAGAAGCGATGAAGGAGTCGCATAAGCGAGGTGAGAGCTGGTGAGGAAGATCGCAGAAGCCGAATTACGGGCACATCTGCGCGTCTGCAAAAGCATAATTGTAGCCGCAAGAAACGGAGTGTGGCGCAGAAGCGTGAGTTGTTTGTCGCACCTGTGTGTGTGCAGAAACGGGAAATATACGCAGGTGCGGAAAGTGCTGGTCTTCTGAGGCTTCGCAAAAAAGATATTTTACCGCAAAAGCGGAGGTCGTAGATGCGACAATTTGACCGCATATGCGGAAATGCTGGGCAGAATCCATACATATCGAGGGTTGGCCATTTTATCACATATTGAGCTATACACTTCGGAATTGGGTGATTTTTTAGGCGACTTTCACCACATGGTTAGAGGTAAGTGTTCTCTACTCGGTTTTGATTATATTTCATGAATCTATCCTCGTTTTTGGCATTTGGTTGATGATTTTAAAAGAGAATTCGGGGATTTTTGCCTAAAGTTTCGTAGAGAGAATTTTCGAGTTTTGAACATCGATTCAGAGTCGGATTTGAATGAAACTAGTATGGTTAGACTCGTGTCGGATTTTATAAGTTTAGTCGGGTTCCGAGGCGCGAGCTAAGGTTTGGCTTTTTGATCGATTTTGGGTTTTTGATTAAGGATTCGACCATTATCATTTGAAATTGTTTTCTTAGGCTTTATTTGATGTTCTTGAGTTGCTTTTGGCTAGTTTCGAGTCGTTCGAAGGTCGGTACGCGCGGGATGGCATTCTTGGAGTATCGTTCGGCTTGCTCGGCATTGGATTTGGCTTGTTTGAGGTAATTAACACTTCTAAACTTGGTGTTGAGTGTATGAAATCCCGAATTATATTTTATGTGATTGATGTTGAGGTGACGCGCTTGGTAGGTGACGGGCATGTGGGCGTGCACCGTAGAAATGACGATTTAGTCGATTCCATGGAACTTTGTAGCTATCTTATCTGAATGCTTGTACCGCACTCTATGTGTTAGAGAACTTGAGCTGTGATTTATGCTAGAAAACATGTTTAGGCTATATGTTAGTACTATTAGGACCCACAGTGATCGTTCATTGCTGTTGAGTTATTTGTTTAATTGTAGTTATTTACTAAGTCGCATTTATCATTACATTTCATATCTCAGTCTCTGTTATTGTATATTGTCACATTTCATATCATGATTTGGGCTACTTAGCACGAGTGTTGTGAGCCTAAGAGACGGGAGATATTAATGACTGAGTGAGGCCGAGGGCCTGGTTGTAAGGTTATCGATACTATAGCACGTGAGTTGTCCGTGCGGATCCAGATATCGATACTATAGCATGTGAGTTGTCTGTGCATCACGTGAGTTATTCGTACGGATCCAGATATTGATACTATAGCACATGAGTTGTCCGTGCGGATCCAGATATTGATACTATGGCACGTAAGTTGTCCGTGCGGATGCAAATATTGATACTATAGCACGTGAGTTGTCCCTACAACATGTGAGTTGTCCGTGTAGATCCAGATATGTATACTATAGCACGTGAGTTGTTCGTGTAGCACGTGAGTTATTCGTGCCGATCCAGATATTGATACTATAGCACGTGAGTTGTCCGTGCGGATCCATATATTGATACTATACGACGTGAGTTGTCCGTGCAGATCCAGATATTGATACTATGACATGTGAGTTGTTCGTGCAGTACGTGAGTTGTCCGTGTGGATTATATCGCTTGGGCTGAAGGAGACCCTCCGGAATCTGCACACCTAGTGAGCGCAGTGGCTAGCAGTTATTATGTTTGGGCTGGATCCGCCCTATACAGTACTGAGTGACAGAGTATGTCGAGTGATTGAGTGTGATGAGTGGAAAGTGTGAGACAATGAGGATGAGTACTTTGAGAGTGTGAGTACATGAGTTCATCATTGAGATACATTACATTTGACATGCGTACTTGAGCTACATGCATAGAAATGCATTTCCTTCTGCTACCTGATTTTGTGACATCCATGATTTCACCTGTATATTGACATGTAGGTATAGAAATGAATTTTCCTCATGCTACCAGAAAATGAAACATCTTATTTATTGTTGAAAGGCTTTTGGGAAAAATCGTAGTTTTCGGACGTACTCCTATATTTTTGAGATTTTTTATGAAAGATTTGGGATCTATTGTATACTTGAAAAGCATGTCTATCTTCCTGTAACTGTGAACGAGTTGAGTTATTTCTTGTATCATCTTTATTATATTGTTATGAACTGTATATGGTTATTGGAGTTCGACTCTGACCCTTGTCCCAGCTCGTCACTACTTTCAACCTAAGGTTAGGTTTGTTACTTTTTGAGTACATGAGGTCGGTTGTACTCATACTACACTTCTGCACCTTGCGTGCAGATGTTGGATGTTGATGTTGCTGCATACGGCGGGAGTTGGACCTGAAGATGTACCTGCGTTCCAGTCATAGCTGCCTCTTGATCTTGGTAGCTTTAGTATTTCAGATCTGTTCATGTATATTTCAAACAGATAGTGTATTTCATTTCAAACCAGCTTTGTAAACTCTATGTCTTAGAAGCTCATGATTTGTACTACTAGTCCTTGGGTAGTTGTATAAAAATTTAGTTTCTCTCATCTTTGACTGACATCAGTATTATTATTATCGTATTTTATTGTTAATTGGCTAACCTAGCGGGTTGGGATAGGTGTCATCACGACGATTTGAATTTTGGGTTGTGACAGTTTTTCTATTAGTTCTCAATGTTAACAACCTCCTGGCACGATTCAAAAATTGTTAAGTCTTAAAAGGACCTTATAGTTGGCTATGTTCATCAAATAGAATGAGGCAACTTAAGAGATGGAACATGTTTAGTTTAACTCTCAAATAGTTCTCTGTGTTATCTGATTTTAGAATTTCTGTACTAAGACAATTTCATATATATATATATATAGATTATTGTCCCATGTCCTTGGAACTTTCAGTTAACATAAAAATAAGTTATTTATCAAATAAATATTATAATAAGTTATAACCAAATTGAGCTTGCAGTAAAATAGAGAGTGCATACCTGTTAAGAGAGGTATAGCCATTGAAGGAGCAAAGAGAACAGAGAAAGGAAGAAGAGGGTAATTGAGCAGAGCTTGGAAATATCGCATCCATTTCTTCATGTACTGTACATGTGTGTATATATACATCACTTAACCACTAACTACCTAATAATATATTAGTTGTTGACAGCTGTACATGTGGCCCACTAACTAACTTCTAACATCCTAACTAACTTCTACACTATGCATTCTTCTCAACACACCCCCTCAAGCTGAGGGATGGAAGAGGTTCTTCATTCCGAGCTTGCTAATCAAATACTCATGTTGTGGTTTGTATAGACTCTTGGTAAGCAGGTAAGCAGGTTGTTCTTTAGTCCCTATGTGTTGAGTCTGAATTTGACCACTCTGAATTTTCTTCCTTACAAAGTGACAATCAATATCAAAGTGTTTTGTTCTTTCATGGAATATGGGATGTGTCACTGATCACGCCCAACTATGCCTTAGAAAAAGGACTCTGCGGACGTTGCAAATATAACCCGAGTATTACGCCCAGGGTCGAATCCACAGAGAGTTAACCTATCAACCACTATCTTCAGACCCACTAATTCTTCAGAACCAGCTTCCCAAATATTCAAATCTCAGTTGAGTGTTC